GCAATGGGTGTCTTATGATGACTTAACAAAACGAGATAAAATAACAAATTTTAATGAATAATTAATAAATTACCTAAGATAGTCTTTCGGCACATGGCACGTCGGAAGGTCATGCCGACCTTAGGGTAACGCCTAAATCCGGAAATGTTATACAGAGGCTACTAATGCAACCATTTAAGTTGTTTTGACCCTCAAATAACTCTGAACATAATACATAATTTGAACATAACATTTATCCTCGTAGAAGGTAGGCAGAGGTGCATATTACGGCACTTAATGCCACTGTACAATGTAACACCTACTTTTCATTTATGTTACGAGTCCCATGTAATAGGGGGTGAGCCTATTGCCATATATCGGGCACGACAGACTCCAGACTGAGAAATATTTTAAAAAACACATTAATACTTTGCCCTACCCGAATCGACCCCTTGCCCGGCAGTCGCACTTTTTTTTAAGGGGGGAAAATCATCGAATTACTGCTCCCGCCTGGGTGTGGCGGGAAGGAGTGTCAGACTCTTACTGACTAAAAACCACCCCGTTCCTTGTCCTGCACGTCGAGCCGGAGCCCCGGTTACCCGTCACTTGCACTTGCGACCTCTCGGCCAACGAGGCACATAGATTATTATTTACAAAGATTATTATTGACTAAGATTGACTTCGTAGAAATAAATAATAGATATATAATTACATAGACAATAGGGTAGATGTCTAATTTTTAATGTCCGTCTGGAAGATTATTTTCAATCATTAGACACGTGTTTTTTATTTTCTTACAGAAACGAATACTTTCGGCGATATAATGATATTGATTTGAAATGTCGCGTGACGTCACTTCTATGTACATTTTATACGTAGAAAGTCCAAAAGATTGTATCAAGTACTTAATGACTCCTCCAACAAATGTTGGATAAAAGTAAAATTCCTACCATTTATTAGTTTGTAGCAATTAGAGAAAAACTTACCGTTCGTAATGAGCCTGCCTTTTAGTGGCAGCAGGTCAAGCTACTCTAATATTTTCATTCGATTTTCGACTTTAATACTTAAGTATAAAGTTGAAAATCTAATAAAGATATTTTACAGAAAAGTGTAGGTTGATCTGCTGGCCAGCAATTGCGATTCTGGACCCGATCTTAGATCATAAAGTTTCGCTATAAAAGTGATTTACTACAGAATCGTTCTACTTCACGGATTCTAGACCTGAACCTTATGACCTGCTAGTGAACAAGGAATATTGGAAGATGGAAACTGACTGGCTTTGGACCCGTTTCCACTCTTTAAATAACGATGTGATTGTGATGAAAAGATAGATAGTTGTTACGACAGTCTTGAACTAGAACTGAACTTATTGTTTTAACTAGTCAATACTTACAGTACCAATGCAACACCTATTAATCAATGGATTTATATAGTCCTTTGTTTTTTCGGGGTTTCTTTATCGTCGGCAGTTACATAGAAAATACCGGCCCCATCCAGCTAATTTGTAGCCTAAAAGTGCTTTTTTAACCTAATGCCTAATTAGGTACAGATTTTTTTTCATTATATTTCACTCAATAAATGAAATGAAATGAAATGAAATGAAATGAAATGAAACATTTATTTGTGATACATAGGTACATTTGGTTGGTCATTTTTAGATTAAAGTGCGCTATGATCAGCCTATTTTAGGCATACAAATACTCGTATAAGAGTTTAAATCAGTAAGTCCATTAATTAGTTAGATAAGTAAATATAAATTTGTCGTGTTTTAATAAATTACATGTCAATAGTGTCCGTCAAAAAGTCAGATGAGGAAGACTACTTAATGCTTAATAGATTATAATAAATTGATGTCAATAAGTAGGTAATTAATAGATTATTGTAGTCAATACGTTATAGCTATACATAAGTCAACAAATAAGCAAAATCAAAATTTATCCATTAAAAAATCTGAGACACTATAATAACATTTTTGACACAGTTAATTGTTTTAAAGATTTTTTAAAAGAATTAACATTAGCTTGTTTTAGCTCTTTTGGTAATTTATTATAGATAGCTGGAGCCATACGAAAGATACTTTTATGCATTAATGCGGTATTCGTTCTGGGTATACATAGACAACTTTCATCCCTTTGTGGCCGATTATAAGCTTCAGATAATAAAATAAAGCGTTGAGGATTTTGCCTTACAAACACCGCGGTTTCATAAATGTATAGTGATGCTAAGGTCATAAGATTGTGTCTTTTGACTGTCCTCAAGTTATGGCGTGACAACGGGAAACGGGTTTATTTTTTTTTCTATCTATCTAGTTATATAGACTATCATGCGTACAGCCACGTACCGTCCACTGCAATGACTACACATTGCTATATAGGAAGTGTCAATTTGCATATACTACACATCTCATCACAACAGCCTATAAGTGGCCATTACTGACCAAAAGCCTCTTCTCACACTCCGAAGGTTTGAGCATTAATCACAACGCTTGCTCAATGTGGGTTGGCGATTACAAACTTATAATTAGAAATTATAAGCCCAGGGCTCCTCGCGAAGTTTTCCTTCACCGTTTGTCAGTGGTGTTGAAAAAATATATAATGTAATGGATGCATATAATATACTGCCTCATTGGCCGAGTGGTCGCAAGTGTGACTGCCGGGCAAGGGGTCTCAGGGTCGATTCCCGGGTCGGGCAAAGTATTACTGGGTTTTAAAAATACTCAGTAGTAGCACGGAGTCTGGAATTGTGTCCGGTATATGGCAATAGGCTCACTCCCTATTACATGGGACTCATAATACAAATAGTGGAAAATGGGTGTTACATTGTACAGTGGCATTAAGTGCCGTAATGTGCACCTCTGCCTACCTCTTAGGGGATAAAAGGCGTGATGTTATGTATGTATGTATGCATAATATAGAAATATTATAATAATCTTAAGTACAGTCGTAATATATTTTAAAAACTGTTTTTTATTTAGATCACAAACCAGTTCTTTGTTAACACAACTCCTAAGGTCAAATTATTTTGTATTAAAAATAGACGTAGCAATATTAAGACTAGATTTTTATTTAGTCTCATGTTTTCTGTTACTTTTTTAAATATAAAAATAACCTTTCAATACTCGAATGGGTAAATAGAGGTGCACACAATAGTTATATATTATATTTCGTATAATAGACGATAAACGAGCAGACGGATCACCTGATGATAAGCAATCGGCGCCATCCTTGGGCACCTGGAACACCAGAGGTGTTACAAGTGGGTTGTCAGTATTTGGGGATTTGAGGATTGGGACATTGGTGTGGAGAGGAAATGGGCCTCCGGTAACCTCACTCACGCGTCGAAACACGACGCAAGCATTGTTTCACGTCGGTTTTCTGTGAGGCCGTGGTATTGGTATTACTCCGGTCGAGCCGGCCCAGTAGTGCCGACGCATGGCTCTGCGTTTTCCCACATTTAAATATAAGGAATAAGGAGTATAGGAGAACAGGAGCTGCACTGCCTCGTTGGCCAATTGATCCCAAGTGCGACTGCCGGGCAAAGGGGTCTCGGGTTCGATTTCCGGGTCGGGCAAAGTATTACTGGGATTTAAAAAATTCTCAGTAGTAGCACGGAGTCTGAAATTGTGCCCGGTATATGGCAATAGGCTCACCCCTTATTACATGGGACTCGTAACATAAATAGTGAAAAGTGGGTGTTACATTGTACAGTGGCATTAAGTGCCGAAATGTGCACCTCTGCCTACCCCTTCGGGGATAAAAAGGCGTGATGTTATGTTATGTTATTCTACAAGAGTAGGGCATTTCTCCTAAGAGAAAGACAAGCCCTATTATAGGATACAAAAATTCAGTTCATAGTACCTACAATTTATTTACGAAGTTATTTTTAACTGAACCAAGTAATTAACTCGACGGAGTTTTTTGAACTCGCTCAGTTCAATGTTAACACAGAATCCTTTTTGTTTTGTTAACAATTACGTTGAAGAATAACTTCGTTGTGACGTATATCGTAATTACCCCGTTGGTTAATTGTTGTAGTTGGTTGGTTTTGTATATTCATTAATATAATTCTTTTATAAAGGCCTCGTTGGATACCATTCCCATACATAACCTCATGCATGTCTCCCATGGGTAAGCAGAGACTATGGAACGCCAATTGCTACGATTCCTACATACCTCTTTCACTTCATCAACAGTCATCAGTCTTCATGCATGCTCGTCGGTTAAGGGTACGGAAATTTGATTAAAATCGTAAGTGGGTCCTATATGTGAGCTGTTACACTTGCTATCAATTATATGTAGGTATGGCAAAAACGCCTAAACGCACGGAATACAATAGCATGCCTTGTAAAACAGTAACCTGAATAAGCCGTTAAATAGAGGTATAATAGGGTTAAATCGCCTGTTCGCATCCACCCACCATCTCACGTACGTTACGAAAAAAAACTATGTTTAAAAATTACCGAAAATAAAACATTAATAGTGCACACATATGATTGATACTATCACTGCCTCGTTGGCTGACTGCCGGTCTTGGGTTTGATTCCCGGGCCGGCCAAAAAAATGCTGGGTTTTAAAAAAAATCTCAGTAGTAGCACGGAATCTGTAATTGTGCCCAATATATAGCAATAGGGTCACCCCCTATTACAGTATACTATAGTGAGAAGTGGGTATTACATTGTACAGTGGCATTAAGTGCTGCACTATGTACCTCTGCCTACCTTCGGGGATAAAAAGCGTGATGATTAATATGAGTATGTTTGATCCTACACGTTTTCAGTATCTTAGAATCATCAATCATAATGGACACAAACTGGTGGATGGACGCGAACAGGTCAATTTACCCTAAATAATTTATCTAGTCCTTGTATTTCATAAAGTATTGTCGAAAATCACCCAAAAATTCCTCGCCTTTGAAATCTGGACAAGTAAGCATCATCGCTTACCACTAGGCGAGATAGTGGTCAAACGTCGGCCCATCAAATATAAAAAAAAAACATTTAGAAATAATTATTTGTTACTCACAACATTCCAATTGGTAATAAAAGCCGGTGCAAACCTCACTGCCACCCAGAGTTCTGGATCAACCACTTCATACTTCAGGAAAATCCAGAGTTTGGCGAAATAAACCATATGTCCATAAAAAAATATCGCACAAAACAACGTATGGAAAAATATCCTCAAAAACAATCGTTTTAAGGTCCCATTTCCATTGCAATTGTCACTGTCCACTTCAATTTTAACTTCTCTTCTCATTTTGTCAACAATTTATTTATTTGTTTGGTTTTTTTCACACTTTTATTTGACAAAATTATTTATTAATTCATTTTTGTTCGTTTAATTTGTTGAACACGACGAAATTATTTGATAAATTTATTTATTTATTATTAATTCAGAATTGTCTTGTATAGTTTTTAAAAACACTTGTTACTCGAATAAGCATACATTAAACAATGAATAAACGTAATGAGTTTATTTTTTCGTTTTCAGTTCTATTCGGTAATTTATAATATACAATACGTACCTACTAACGTTCGTGTACATGAGATTAAAATTTCGACATACTAATTTAATTCATTGCGTGTATGTTTCGGGGATATAATTCATAATACTTAAAGTTATTCAACGTGTTAAAGATTTATAATATTATTAAAGATATAATTACACTTACAAACATAACATCACGCCTTTTATCCCCGAAGGGGTAGGCAGAAGTGCACATTACGTCGCTTAATGCCACTGGACAATGTAACACCCCATGTAATAGGTGGGTGAGGACATTGCTATATACCGGGCACAATTCCAGACTCCTTGCTACTCCTGAGATTTTTGAAAACCCAGTAATACTTTGCTCGATCCCCTCGGACCCGAAACCCCTTGCCTGGTAGTCGCAATTGCAATGTGTATTTGTTGTAGTGACATAACTATAATAGTTGTACATATGCTACCGCGGAGTTTTTTGTAGACATTATGATGTTCTTCAATATTGTGGTGGATTTTGTTCTATCGCTAATAGTTTCGGCAGCGCATTCGACGAAAGACATTTTAAGACTCATTTTTCTACACCTTCGGTTAGATCGTTCAAATTTTACCAAGGATCCCTAATTTTTTTCAAAATTAAATGTAGCCTATGTCAAATTGGAAGAATGTAGCATTCTATTGGTGAAAGAATTTTTTAAATCGGCCCAGTACTTTTTGAATCTATTCATTACAAACATACAAAAATAGGTACAAATCTTTCCTCTTTATAATATTAGTATAAATATTATACATCTACTGGTTCGAAAAGAACTTCGTTAAACAACCTTGTTGTTTATTGACATGCAAACCTTAACCTTGGCTGAACCACTATTAGTTCCTAATGACTGCCTACAATTATATCAGGTGATTAATTCTCTCAACATGTTAAAGAAATCTTCTATCTTATTATTGTATATCTTACTAGCTCTTCCCCACGACTTCGTCCGCACGTAATTATAGTCTTTTCTGAAGTTAATTCCAATGATTTGCATCAAATCTTATCAGATTACATTGATAAATTATTATGTTTTCGGCTTACTCACGTAATAATTTGACTCAGAACTCGACTAGTTTCAAGCCATGCTATAGAGGCTCATATTCATGAGCAGCATTTCGCGACCCGCGACGCGGCGACTGTCGCGCAGTCGCGCTGCAGTAAGGCGAAAACATAATAATTTATTTAGTACTAGCTTTTACCCGCGGCTTCGCTCGCGTCACAAAAGGATATAAAGTAGCCTATGTGACATATACCAATACACACAGCGCCATTTATACCAATAATTTCGTTTTCTCTCGAGAATATCAATTTTTTCTAGGATAAAAAGTACCCTATTATTTAATCCACATTTCTAACTTTACGTCTGCAAAAATTCAAAGCAATCGGTTTAGTAGTTACGGCGTGAAAGCGGAACAAACAAAAAAACTCACTTTCCCATTTATAATATTATAGTAGTAAGGACGTCTCACGAAATTTACAATACAAATACAGAATACATTGATTTATATTTATTGGAAAATATTGTTAGGTTTCGTGATTTCAAAAAATAAACAATCCCACAGGGATTTTACCCATAAAGTATCCATTCCCTTATGGTTTAAGTAATTAAAACTGCATATGAAATGCAATCAAATAGGTACAACGGTTGAAAACTCTCAGCCGTCATTTTCCGAGTCTCAAACTATCGCCGTACCGAATTCCACTCAAATAACTTTAAGGATTTTGTATATATATAATATATATATACCTATATAGAATCTTTTTTTTTATATTATAACGTTCGTGGGACATATAAAATTAATTATTGTTTGGTTTATTCATCATCATCATCATCAACAGCCTATAAATGTCCACTGCCGACCGAAGGCCTCTTCTCACACGGAGAAGGTTCGTGCATTAACCACCACCTTTGCTCAATGTAGGTTGGCTATTACAAACTTTGTCCACTTTCTCGTCTGATGGTAAGCGATGACGCTGCCTGCGATGGAGCACGCCTTCCTATGCAACCTATTCAATCAGGCATTCAAGTCATTATGGATTACCTGGACAGTCCACACTACATCCTTGTTGACTGGACAATCTCTGCACTACATGAGCTGCTGTTTACATGTGAACATTAGCTCATGACGATACCTAAGTACGTGTGTCGCCTGGACAGTCCACACTACATCCTAGTTGATACTCAATTATCACCCAGTGAGAGTCCACTGCTGTACTGTATAATTATGTATGTATGTGCGGGCCTGCGGACGACAAGCATGGGTGGCTCCCCGTCCGACCAGAAACATACCCGAGCGTACGACGCCGAGCGTTCCGCGCGCGCCTCAAAGAGTCAGCAGACCACCCCAGATGGGGCCCGACAAGGCCGATGCCGATTCGGAGTCGCGGAGAACCTAACGGGTAACCGGGGCTCCGGCTCGACGTGCAGGAGAAGGAACGGGGTGGTTTTTAGTCAGTAAGAGTCTGACACTCCCTCCCGCCCCACCCAGGCGGGAACACTCATTCGATGACTTTCCCCCCTTAAAAAAATATATACATGTGTCTACGCTTGCCAGGCAGGTTGGAGATCGCAGTATAAAAGGTTCAGGTTCATCAGAGAGCACTGCCGCCCGGTCACTGTCTAATGTGTAGTCCATTAGTCGGGTACACGACACCTGCGGGAATAGTAGAGGCGCTAAAAATGTATTCTAGATACTCTGCCGTTACTACACGACTGCAGTCTTATAGCTTGGACGATAAGTTTACTTAATATCATCTATTCACAAGTATTTGCTGATAAAACACGTAATGAAAACTAAATGAGATCAGATCACGTATATACAAATATTATAATCAATTACAAATTTCTCGCAATCTGTCAAGATCTCTTTGATGAGATCACGTAACTATTTATTGGACTGATATACATACATACATACATAACTTCACACCTGTTTCCCACGAAGATAGGCAGAGACTATGGAACGCCACTTACTACAATTCCTACATACCACTTTCGCTTCATCAACAGTCATTAATCTTTTCATGTACTGATATCGATTAAATTGCTATATCTATCAATTGTATAATAATCTGCAAATGTAGATGATTCTAGATTTCCATCGAGCGATTTTATTTCGGGATTCAATATTATGACTACCAGAAAATACTAAGTTCTTTTACCAAAAATATATACTTGACACCAAAAATAGCAGCCTGACATGGTAGGCGGATATAACATAACATCACGCCTTTTATCCTCGAAGGGGTTGGCAGAGGTGCACATTATACCACTGTACAATATAACACCCACTTTTGACTATTTATGTTATGAGTCCCATGTAATAGGGTGTGAGCCTATTGCCATACACCGGGCACAGTTCCAGACTCTGTGCTTCTACTGAAAATTCTTTAAAAACCCAGTAATACTTTGCCCGACCCGGGAATCGAACCCGAGACCCCTTTCCCAGCAGTCGCAATTGCGACCACTCGGCCAACGAGGCCAACGGCCAACGAGGTAGGCGGATATTTATTTATTTATTCAAAGAAGTACTGCCACATCACAGACATTTAAAATACACAAAAGAAACAAAATAAAGGTCTGATAATAACAACAATAATGGCGTACATAGCATAGTAGGATAGGTCAGAATGGTGGACCAGCTGCCGTCACTCCATTCGTTAGGTTACTTCAAACCCTGCGGTCAGATATAGAAGCCCCACGTAGGGCACCGTCGCCTTAATCTATTTATCTACTGCGATTCTAATATTGGTGGTGATTAACAAGTTATGGGTCAACTTTGATTTGTTTGGAGATCATTTGTTCTAATAATATAAATTTAAGTGTGGGAGAGCCATGCTTCGGCACGAATGGGCCGGCTCGACCAGAGTGATACCACGGCCTCACAGAAAACCGACGTGAAGCAACGCTTGCGTTGTGTTTCGTCGTGTGATTGAGGTTACCGGAGGGGCAATTACCTTCCCCTTCCCCAATCTCCCCAATCCCTGAATCCCCAACGATCCTCAAACTCCTAATCCCCAAAAAGCCGGTGGCGCACTTGTAACGCCTCTGGTGTTCCAGGTGTCCATGGGCGACGTCGATTGCTTACCATCAGGTGATCCGTCTACTCGTTTACCGGCTATGCCATAAAAAAAAATAAGATACCTAGATGTACAAATGGTTATAGTTTTAAATTAAAATGGGGTTTAAATTCTGGTGATTATTTACTGTTTTTGCCTGTTTTATGTTACTAAATCAGATGAATAGTTAAACGTATGCATCTAAGCCTTTTATTTCGCTCACCTCTTGTGTCCCCCCCATCCCCATTGTTTGGGATCCAATATAGACCCTAATTGATTAAATCTTTCCCCCTTCCTGACGACAGATGGATCTGATATTCGGTACGCACTCTCAATCTTGATGTTCTTAATATTTTCTACAAATACCTCAATTGTGGATGTCAAACGAAATGCGAAGCAATGAAGTAGATGCCTAATTTTTATTTTAATGTCCGTCTGGTAGATTATTTTAAATCATTAGACACGTATTTTTATTTTCTTACAGAAACGAATACTTTCGACGATATATTGATTTGAAATGTCGCGTGACGTCACTTCTATGTACATTTTATACGTA